TGGGTGAGGCTTTCATTTGCTGCACTTTTAGTTTATTACTCCCAACGTTCTTTTGCACAGACTACTAACATGTCGAGGTTGATTTTATCCTTAAAGACACAAAGTTTAAACATTGAATTGTCCCAGCTTTAACACAAATAAGCTTACTTTTTGGGGGTCATATGTAGTTGACAATAACAACATTAAAATTATAAGCCTGGTGTCCAGTTATTTTGAGAACTTACCTGCTGTTAAAGAAACTGTATATTTTTTTGTGTTTAGCAGGTTCCAGAAATGGGCTGTCGACTGGAAGGCTAATGGACAGGAGCACGGACCAATTACAAGATGCTGGCTCGTAACCACTTCCTCCTCCTGGTTGTGGGGGGCGGGGCTGTGTTGGCGATCATCAGTTTAAGCCTCCAGTTCTGTAAGTGCAGTGTGTGTGTGTGTGTGTGTGTGTGCTTCATGTATATCCTCTCATTGCCTTTCTATTTTGAGGATCCTATTCAAACAAAACAAAGTGGAATTCCCTTTAGGATTCCTCTAAATATCCAGCATCAACACTGGGCCTCTCTGGATGTTCCCCTGTAAGTTCCCCTCACTCCCTCCATTTGCTGTTGAATGCCCTACTGCACATAATTGTGTCTTTCGGGCATTGTCTAGGTTGTGTGATCCAGTGAGGCTCATTGAAAGCAAGGGAAAGCACTGCTGAGGTAAACAGGGATGAGCTATTCTTCACTAGGTTTGCAAGTGTTGCTGGTGGGATTTAAAAACGTCTGAGTGATGACACAGGTGAAGCTCAGAACAGACCACAATTTGTATTTGGTTGCATAACATTACAGATTAGGTCATTTTTAAGCTGCATCCAAAAACCAGTCAAAGTAGAAAGGGTGATGAGTGATGGTAATCTGTCATAACAAAAACACATTAAACTTTCAAAAATCACAATTTTTAGACCTATAATGAATTTAAGTCACCAGAAGAGGTATTTTACACCATTGAATATTTAGAACTTACTTAATCAATAGAGTTAATCATAAAAATAACATTTTTACTTTGTCTGATCTCTCCTTTTCTAACACAATTCATTGTTTTAGTTATGTTGGTGAAAAAAGTTCATTGTTAAAAGTTTGAGACTTGCTATAAAATCACCCATGCTTCATTTATTTCTTGTGCTTCATCGTTTTTGAAGTGGGGTTCTGTGTAAAGATTATGAACAACTAGTTGTATAACTTTAGATTGGTGCGATAGAGTTTAACTGATGGGACTGATGAGGTAATGGCTAGTCTCAATGCAGCCAAGAGCACAGTGTATTGTTACTAGTTGTTTATTTATTTAAGAAGGGACAGTGCATATTACAGAGCATGCCATAATTAGCCATGAAGGCTAAGTTTTCATCTCTAGTCCCCCAAGGTCCTATAGATCTAAATACAATACAGGGTTTCCCGCAGTGAATTATAATGCCTCCCCGCCAGGCTAAGCGTCATTTGTTTACTCAGAGCGCATGTTGACCCACGGAGTATGTGTTAAATTACAACCCCTGGCAAAAAGTATGGAATCACCAGTCTTGGATGAGCACTCATTCATACATTTCATTCTGTAAAACAAACTCAGATCAAAAACATGATACAATAATAAGGTCATTCCAAAGTGCAACTTGTTGGCCTTCATGAACACTCAAAGAAATGAAGAGAAAACATTGTGGAAGTCAGTAAATGTTACTTTTATTGACCAATATTAATGAAAATGATAAATATGATGTGTTATTGTAAAACATTTGTTTACAACAGTTAAAACACCAACTATAGTGGGGATCACCAAACCTTTTTGAGGCAGACAGCTACTTCAGGGGTACAGAGTAACACAAAGGACTACTTGTTTGATAGAAACATAAATTTACATGGCTCACCTTTAATTATAGTATTAATAATAATGAATATGCAGTGTTTCCCCTATCATTCAACAAGAATCTGCACCCCCTTGCCGGCGAAAACTCTGTTACTTTCGGATAGGGAGCAGAGAGCAAAGCACACATCGATTTTAGCGTAAGCCAAATGTGTCTCCATTTCAGACAAACTGGACACCCATGTTTACACAAGCACATTAAACATACAGTGTCGCAACAAAACAAAAAACAAAAAAAGCCTGTCTACAGGACAATAAAACCACAACAGCTTAAGCCGTGTGCTGACTATCCACCCACAATCACATCCACAGAGTGAGGAATACGCAGCCAAGGAGACACACACACCTAAGCAGAACTGAGACAGACAAGTACAGATTAGAGTGGGACTTGACAGTGAAGTAGAAGCTTATGGCTGCTGGGTTAGTGGCTTCAGCCTAGCAGTATGAATGTACGCTCTGCTCTATCCTCTGCCATTCCCAAGGCCAGTATAGCAGGGGAAATACTACTCCTTATAGGCCTTACAGCCCCTCTGACTGAATCAAATACACAGCATGCTACAGTATATACTGGTGTAATATTTAAAAAGTAAATAAAAACAACAAACAAGATTTTATTAAATTTCATATACATTTCTTAATCGTGGAACTGACAAACTTTTCACTTGAAATGTAAACTGTAACATATAGAGAATCTGGTATTTATTCCAGTATTGGTGTCTGTGCCAAGTATTGGGGCATTTTAAACAAATATGAGTACGGTACTTGGAAAAATTCTGGTACCAGATCTGATACCAATACCGGGGTCTGTTTCAGGACACCACTAATTATTTTTATAACTTTAATATCTCATGCAAATACTATGTCATAGACCTATACACTGTTATAATTTTGTATTATTAATAAACTACAAAAACATTTTTATATCAGCTTGAACATGTATTTATTAACTTGTCCTGATGCCTTAGCAGCAGAACCATTCTTTCCACAGAGCAACTGTGCCAACTCCTGAAACCAGGCTTAGTGTCAATCTACTTCCCATATGGCTGTTGGATGCAATAAAGCATATTTGGCAGGGCTGGATTATTATTTCAGGGGCCCCTGGGCACAACGTGCTTCAAGCCCCCCCAGACTATTATCATTTATGCATATTTACATCAAACCACGACATTACATAGAGATACTACATACTACAAGTCAGATTGTTCCATAAATTAATCACAATCACTCATACATGTAATTTTTGTTTTTCCCTGTCTCACTCCTCTTCGGTCTCACTCCTCTTCTGTCTCACTCTTCTCTTGTCTCACTCCTCCTCATCTGCCTCACTCCTCTCTTGTCTCACTCCTCTTCTGTCTCATGCCTCCTCATCTGCCTCACTCCTCTCTTGTCTCACTCCTCTCCTGTCTCACTCCCCCTCTCATGTGTCACTCCTCCTCTCCTGTCTCACTCTTCCTCTTCTGTCTCACTCCTCCTCTTCTGTCTCACTCCTCCTCTCCTGTCTCACTCCTCCTCTCATGTGTCACTCCTCCTCTCCTGTCTCACTCTTCCTCTTCTGTCTCACTCCT